CCTGCTGTTCTTCCAACAGGAGCCATCTAAAGAGGTGTTCCTGCCAAGCCTCAGTTGAGATGAAGGGGCACAGGAGGCAGTGTTGCCCACGCTTGGACCTCTTTTCTCTCTTTTGCAATAGTTCACAGACTCCTTGTCAACAAAAACAATAGTAAAAGCTATTAAAGGCAATGTACACCTCTCTGACCAAACTGCCCGCTCTGTCCTGAAGCACTCCCTGGGTGAGGTCAGTGAAGGTACAGTGGTGGCTGGAGAGCCAAGGAGTGGGGGGCAGGGGGGGTTAGTGGGAGGCCTGGGACCAAAGCTTGCAGCCTCAGTCTAGCCCATTCTTGGGAGCTGCTACTGCTGCTGTCCCAAGGGAGCCTGTAAGGGTACTAGGGCTGCTCTCATGTGTAGAGTCTACACATGGTACAGGCTGAGGGCCATGGCCACTCCTAGCACTGAGGTCAGGGCTCAGGCCTGCAGAGAGGGGCCCACCTTTGCTCAGTGGTACTGCCCACCTCCCTAGCTGTGTCAATGCCTCTCACTCACAGGCATGACAGCCCTCCTGGCACAATGGCCCTAGAGCCCCTGGCTACTCCCTTGTCTGTAGTCTCGCTGTGAGGGCCACTCTGTGAGGACTGGCTCTAACTTCCTAGCCATCCTGCCAGCTGTTCAGACTGTTAGCTTGACATGCAGCCTCATGAAACAGGAGGCTGAGGCCACCCCTCCCCACCAGCACCACTGTCCCTGAAGGCTCAGAAACTGCAGACCTGTGGGCATTTTGGGAAAGCAGCCAGTGCTGAGCCCACTCAGGGGAGATGGAGAATAGCGTGGGGCTGACGTGATTCTGGTGGCATGACTTGTCCCCTCAGCTCAAGAGTCTGGCATCTTGATTCCCTCCCTTGCCTCAGTGATGGGGGCAGCCTCATCAAGCCAATTCAGACATCACTTGTTCTTCCAAGAACAAGTCTCCCCACCTGCCACTTCTTGGTGGCTTATGTTGGTTCTGACCAGCCACCATGTTTTCCAGAGTGGACATGTTTGAGTCAGCTTTGCCGCTGCCCTAACTTGGCATAAACCACTCCACGGCATAATTATATATTCCCAGTCCTTATTTAGTGTTTGATGAACACTTTCTAGAGCAGGCTTATGTTTTAAAACATCAGGGAATGTCAGCTACCAATATAGGCCTAAGCCCCAAGACCCTGAGATCTGCTTTGCATCCCAACTGGGTCTCCCATATTTGCTAGAAAAGGAAAAGTTCAAATGAAGCCCTCAGCCCCAGCACTCATGTGGGAGCCAGTCACATGAACACAGCTGGTTGTGAAGCAGTGGGTCCTAAAGTGAACCCACCAACTCAGCCCAGCTGTTGCCTGTGGTCACAGCTGCTCCCAAGCCAGGCGGCCTCTCCCCAGACTGTCCTCTGCACCAAGCAGGTTCCCTGTACTCATGACTATATCCTTCCCAGTGTCTGACTGGGCACAGCTACACCACCTAACCAAGCCTCAATCACTGTACAATCCAGGACAGGGCTGAGTGAGGCCAGCCCCTGGCCTTAGGGGGGATGGATGTGGGAGCCAACCAAGTTGTGGTAAGAGAGGAGGTCAGTGGGGAGGGGAGTTTGCGTCTGTCTGCTAGGCTCCTACAGGGTCGGTGCTGTGGCCAGTTCCTCTGCCTTCCAGTACTCAGTAGGTGGCATCTAGCATGTGGCAGGTGTTCAGGGAACAGCAGCACAGTTGGAAGAGTAGGTGTGGAGGGACCAAAGTGTCCCTCCCTACACCTCATTACCTTAATTGGATTGAGGAAGACATTTAGGCCGATGCTATGGCACCTGCCACCCACACCTGGCCTCACACAGCCCTTTCATTCCTTTTGGTCATGGTCACCATCTGGGCCCTTCATTGCACCTTGCTCCCTGCAATTCCCTTCATCCCCCAGACCTCTGGCCACTGGCTCACCCACTGGTCTCTTGTTGCTAAGCTCCTCTCAGCCCTCAGATCCAACCCGTACCACTGCCCTCTGGGTCACAGTTGGGGGTCCTCTGTGACTCCTACCCACACACTCTGGCTGTGGTGGCTTAGGACTCCTGGTGACCCATGCCCAAGAGAAGGTCCCACTCTGCTCACCCAGGTCTCCCAACACCCCGGAGGACTTCCCCTGAATGAGCACCCACCCAATAATGTCCCTAGCCTGCCTTTCTCCACAGTTTCTAGGAGGCACCTGCTGGCTGTGAATGGCATGGACACTCAGTAGCAGGCCCCCAGCCTGCTGAAGGAAAGGTATGGCAAGTCTAAACCCCTTGCTTCTCAGGCAAGGGCACAAGGCCCAGAGGGGCTGGCCTGTGCCATGGTAAAGAACTGGAGACTGAAACCAGGTCTTCCCCAGTAACTGGACAGCTTCCCAGAAGGACGGTGAGAGAGCAGCTATGGGGCAGATCATGGGGAAAGAGACTTGGCCACCCAGGGAGTCCCAAGGCCCAAGGGAGGCTCATGCTAGGTATGAGCAGGAAATCAGGAATGTCCCGTGCAGGTATGTCCCGTGGGCCCAGCCAGGCAGGGTGCCCAGCTGGGAGATGCTCTAGGGACTGGCTATTTATTCCTCCAAGTTGCTGGTGTGACACACACCCTGGGCTTGTCTGTACAGAGGAGCCCTGCCACCCACCACCCCAACAGTGGCCCTTTCTCAGTTCGATACCTGCCTCACTGTGGGAGGCAGCTAAGGACAGGCTTCTCCTACAACTGTGGCACACACCCACAAATTGTCACTGAAACTTGACCTCAGTGGGATTTGGCCCCAGGTCCAACTCACAACCCAACTGTTCTCTCACGTGGGCAGACAGTGCTACACTGTGCCACTGATTACTGGACTGTCACCTCGGGCAGCTCCTGTCTCCAGGTGCTGCACTAAGGCCCCCATACCAGAGGCCAAAAGAAAGCCCAGAGCATTCTGGGGCTGCAGCCTTGGACAGGCATCAGGCGCAGACCTGCTCTCCCTCCTCGAAGCTGCACTGACCATCTCCCTCCCCTCCCCCAGCAGCTCAAAAGCTCAAACTGGAGAACACATCCTCACTTTAGTAGCTTTCCATAGCAAATAACCAAATGCTTAGGGATTCTCATCTCTGTAGCAGGTCTGGATGCCACTTGCTCCTCAGTGCACCCTCTGGGCTGCATTTCCTCTTCCAGCTTCCTCCACGGTGGCATTGGGTGGCTGACCTCTCCCACCACCCTTTGCGAGCCCTTGAGATTCCTGGGTGAGAGGTGGCAGCAGTCTCCATTCAGATTCCTGCTGACTAGTATATGGGGGCATCACATGGTTAAGCAAGGCCAGAGTGGTCTAATGGAGCTTGCCCCTGAGCTTGGAACATAGAGCGTGCTGATTACACGTGGCTCAAGAGAGCATGACCTCCTCCCTAGATCTCCAAGCGCTGGTGACTTTCTTCAGTGAAGGGAAAAAGCAGGGGAACAAAGCGTGGCCAGCCCGCCTCCCTTGCTCTATTCACACCTGCCCACTGTTGTCTCCAGTTTACACCTGGGAATACGGGAACCCAGGGATGTAAGTAGGTGCTCAGTCCCCACAGGAAGGGGCAGAGCTGCGGGAAGTCTAGGTCAGCTGACCCTCTGTGGGAGAAAGCAAAATGCTCCCCCAACCCCCCTCCCATCTCCCCAGGCCTGGACATCCAGGTTAAAATGTTGCTCAACACCAGGGAAATCACGGTGAAATTCTGAGTAATTAACTAGAAGGGCAACTTCACAGCGTAGCCATGGATACATACCTGCCTTTCCATAGCTGCCTGACTCGGAAAACAAAGCAAGTATGTCTCCACCGAGAAGCAGACTAAGAGCCACACGTGGTCACCTCTGCCCTCGCCAACACCAGAACTCAAGACCCCAAATGACAGCTAGAGTCTGTCCTTGGCAGGTGGAGTCAGCAGAATAAAGCAGGGAGACCAAGAGTATGGTACAAACTTTCCTTGAGGCCGCTCCCTCCTCCCTGGGCACCCTGCTGGCTGTGGGGCCCTTGGTGGGCTGTTTGCTGCAGCAGCTGCTCTCTGTGGCCCCTGGCCTCTGGGCCACCACAGGGAGGGTGCAGGTTGATATTTGCAGTAATTATTGAATCAGCCCAAGTATACAGCAAGCTTCCACCTAAAACATGTACACTGGGCCAGGTTTTTGTTGTGATTCCTGCACACACATGTTGAAAACATTGATTCCTAATGGCCCACAGGCATCTTGGAGGCTGAGAGACCCTTCTTTCCCTGTCCTTGTTCCTCAGACAGCAGTCCAGGGAATGGCCATCCAGACCAGGTAAGCTTCAGCACACTAGCATTCTTTGGGAAATGTGATGTGGGTCTTAGTCCCAGTATCCAAATGATCTCTCATCATGAGATAGAATCAGCCTGGTCTCACCTATACATCCACAATCCCTCAGGGTCAGATGTGTCACTGAATTAGAAATTTCTCAGGAGTTACAAGGATAATTAGATGCATATACGTAGGTTATGCAATAGCATGAGTGTGCTTTAAAGTGGAACCCTATAGTCAAATGCCTTAATTTCCTTAGCTCAGCCCTCATGGTAGTAAAAGGTCA